TTTATCAGCTGTTTGCTTGTGTGAGCTGTACTGGCCGCACAGCACCCTAACTACCATGGGGCACTGTGCGGCCACAGCTCACACAGCCCCCTCCAGCCAGGGCCGGTGCAAGGATTTTTGCTGCCCTAGGCAAAAGTAAAGTTTGCCGCCCCCCCCATGTGACATCACAATGCCCCACCCATATGATTTGCCATATTAACTAACGCCAGTGCTGCAGTGCCGCCGTGTTTACATTAAAAGGACTGCAGGGACAGGCTATAGACACCAGAACCATTACATTAAGCTGAAGTGGTTCTGGGGACTATAGTGTTTGTTTAATGTGAGGTAAATTAGAGCTTAGTGCCACGAATAATATACTAGATTGCCTACTTACAACCAGATGAGGATGATGATGGGCTCTAGTTGCAGTCTGGCTCCACTGGTCTGGTGTAGAACAGGCTCTCTGGAGGAGGTTTGTAACTGTGGTCAAAAAATCAATGTTCTGGGAGAACGGGAAGCAGCTCCATTTTTTGGGGGCCCTTTACACAGCTCAAGGTCTAGGTCTCAGGGTCCACCTTCATGTTCCACCAATGAGTTTGTTCACAGGGGGTGGAGTGTGTAGGAGATGTCCTGATATGTGTGTAAGGAATGCATTGTGTGAATCTGTGTTTGTATGTGTAAGGGCTGTAAGGTGTGTTTCTGTGTATGTACGGGATGCAGTGTGTGTGTCTGTAAGGGATGCATTGAGTGTGTGTAAGGGGTGCATTGAGTGTGTGTAATATTGTGTGTTTCTGTGTGTGTAAGGGATGCATTGTGTGTAACGGTTGCATTGCTTGTGTATGTGTGTCTGTGTGTGTAATGCATTGTGTGTTTTTCTGTGTGCAAGTGGTGCATTGTGTGTGATGAATGTCAATCTCTCCCCCCCTTCAATTTCCTTCTCTCCCCCATTCCAATTTCCTTCTCCCCCCTCCCAATTTCTTTCTTTATCCCCCCTCCTAATTTCTTTCTTTATCCCCCCAATCTTTCTTTATCCCCCCTCCCAATTTCTTTCTTTATCCCCCCAATCTTTCTTTATCCCCCCTCCCAATTTCTTCTTTATCCCCGCCAATCTTTCTTTATCCCCCCAACCCAATTTCTTTCTTTATCTCCCCCTCCCAATTTCTTTCTTTATCCCCCCATCTTTCTTTATCCCCCAGCTTAGATTTCTTTCTTTATCTCCCCTCCCAATTTCTTTCTTTATCCCCCCCTCCAATTTCTTTATATCCCCTCCCAATTTCCTTCTCCCCCCCCCTTCCAATTTCTTTATCCCCCTCTACCATTGTTGTAGCGTGGCCGAGCCCTCTATGGTCCGCGGGTACAGGGAGCTTTTGTTTCCTGTACCCGGCCGGACTAAAAGGAAGTGCACACTCAGTGCACGGGTACAGGAGACAGATACTACCTGTACCCGCGGACCATACAGAGCTCGACAGTGAGGGAGTGACAGGCGGGAGCGCTGAGCTGTCAGCCCCTCTCCTCATGCTGCGCCCGGGCGGTGCGCCCTCATGGACGCACCAGCCCGGGCAAAGCTGCAGCCGCCTGAGGCTTTCTACAGAGCGCTCGGGCGGCTGCAGCATGAGGGTCATGGCACTCCCCACCCTGGTGGCACCCGGGACGGACCGCCCCCTCTGCCCCCCCCTTAGTCTGCCACTGGTCCTTATTATATCACGTGGAGGAAAAAACTACCACAACAAGAGGACATAGTCTTAAATTAGAGAGGCAAAGATTTAAAAATAATATCAGGAAGCATTACTTTACTGAGAGGGTAGTGGATGCATGGAATAGCCTTCCAACTGAAGTGGTAGAGGTTAACACAGTAAAGGAGTTTAAGCATGCGTGGGATAGGCATAAGGCTATCCTAACTATAAGATAAGGCCAGGGACTAATGAAAGTATTTAGAAAATTGGGCAGTCTAGATGGGCCGAATGGTTCTTATCTGCCGTCACATTATATGTTTCTATGTAGGAACGCCAGTTTATGTAGCTTTACTCTTAAATGGCTCAGGTTTAGGAAGAGTCAAAATATTATCGTTTACGTTGACATAAATAAATTAATTTCAATACACTGAGGAGTGCTGGATTTTCCTACAGGGTGGATAACTGGCAACTCAGTTACTAGTGACACAGTAACAGAGGGATTGAGGGCCCTGCTCAGTGAATTTACATGTTAGAGGGAGTGGGGTGTAGTGACACAGTAACAGAGGGATTGAGGGCCCTGCTCAGTGAGTTTACATGTTAGAGGGAGTGGGGTATAGTGACACAGTAACAGAGGGATTGAGGGCCTGCTCAGTGAGTTACATGTTAGAGGGAGTGGGGTATAGTGACACAGTAACAGAGGGATTGAGGGCCCTGCTCAGTGAGTTTACATGTTAGAGGGAGTGGGGTATAGTGACAGTAACAGTGGGATTGAGGGCCCTGCTCAGTGAGTTTACATGTTAGAGGGAGTGGGGTATAGTGACACAGTAACAGAGGGATTGAGGGCCTGCTCAGTGAGTTTACATGTTAGAGGGAGTGGGGTATAGTGACAGTAACAGAGGGATTGAGGGCCTGCTCAGTGAGTTTACATGTTAGAGGGAGTGGGGTATAGTGACACAGTAACAGAGGGATTGAGGGCCCTGCTCAGTGTGTTTACATGCTAGAGGGAGTGGGGTATAGTGACACAGTAACAGAGGGATTGAGGGCCCTGCTCAATGAGCTTACATGCTAGAGGGAGTGGGGTATAGTGACACAGTAACAGAGGGATTGAGGGCCCTGCTCAATGAGCTTACATGTTAGAGGGAGTGGGGTATAGTGACACAAAAGGTAAGGGTAGGGTAGAAAAGTAGGTTGCATCATCGCTGCCTCCATAATATGAGGAAGCTTAAAGTGGCACTATAGTCACCCAAACAACTTTAGCTTAATGAAGCAGTATAGATTATGCCCCTGCAGTCTAAATGCTCAATTGGGAGTTAAAACCCTTTGTTTACACAGCCTTGTAAAGAGTCATCTATTGTTTACATTCCCTGTATTACGAATTATATTTAAGTTAGAAGCTGTGATCTCCTGCTCTGTTAATAGCTTGCTGGACTCTGCAGGAGTCTCAATTTACAGAGCAGGATATAAACAATATTAAAGTAAGTAACATCTGATTGAAATTGAAAACCCTTTTATTTAATGCAGGCTGTGTCAGTCACCGCCAGGGTAGTGTGGCTAGGGTGATATAAACAGAAACAAAAGTGACAAAAACTCCGAAATGGCAGGGAATTGAGCAGTGTGATTGTAGGGGCATCATCTATACACCAAAACTGCTTTGTTAAGCTAAAGTTGTTGTGGTGACTACAGTGTCCCTTTAAGCTGGGCAGCCAGTGGCAGGCAGAGCTATTTCGGCCAGTTATATAGGTAAGTAGTCAACAATTTGACAGTCACAGTTCAATGAATAATATATCTCCTATTTTATCACTGTTTCTATACCACATTTCATAACGAAAAGGTTTATGGGTTATTTTTTCCCATAAATTATCCTCCAAAAACATTGAATTCGTTATTTACAGCAATAAAATAGATGCAGAGATCGCACAATTTATTCTGTTACAGTAATGGGAATTTAGAAAATATTTCATTAACTGTAACTGATATTTACAATAATGTGTGCTATAATCTATTTCCTGGTAATATGATGCAGCATAACTAATATGAGATAACTTTATTAATTGTAAAGGGGTCTGTATGCTTGAAATCCACCCCTTTTAAAATTAATTACAATAAGATAAATGTTTAACTGTTTGCTGGCAAGCTTATTGCACAGCCTGAGGACATCATTTAATTATAATGGAAGCACATTTCTTGACAGGTGGGTGGACCTATTCAAGGGATGGAGTGTTGGATCACCTCGTTCCTGACCAATCGCACCAAAGAAGTGAACATGGCTGATAACGCTGCACAGGCCTATAAGGTACTGTCGTGTGCCACAAGGATCCTGTCATGGCTTACCTGGGATTGGAGTTCAGAGATAATGCTTACCCTTACAAATGTTACAGCCCATGGTGACTAGTTAGATAAATCATCTGGATAGTGAACGTGTGTGTGGGGCCAGTGAAGGAGGTCATATCTGGAAGCGCAGTTTAGCCAAGGTAAAATCCAAAAACAGAGTATAAGGCAAATCCAAAGTCAGGGCCGGCAGCTAGTATGCAAAGCTGCTATTCTTTCCCTGCTAGTCACTATTCTTTCCCTGCTCGCCCTTGTGACTTCTTTTTTACGGTATCTGACAACGGGGGCTGGCCATACAGCCTGTGAAGAGTCCAGCTCTTCCTCTAATCTAGAATATTGTCTTAGTAGGGGAGACACGTATATCTCCCCAACCAGACAATATAGTACTAGTGGGACCAGTAATGGAAAACCAGATTTACAATATCTACAGGATATATATATTTAATGTCCCCTTTCATCACCTTAGCTCCACACAACCAGCACATGTCTCATGAGCCTCTCGCTCTAGACATCAGAATAGCAGCAGACCATTAATTTTTCGCTTTTTGGAAGAACCTGGAGACATATCTCGTTGATGCTGCCTTCTCCCATTAGCACTTATTTTATTTCACTTCATTTACTTCCCTCCGATTTCAGCCTTCTTCATTTACACCCTTTACCTCTTCAACTGTCAGACAGACAGAAAAAAAGTATGGTGGGATAAATGGATGGATGGTTGTATGGGTAGAGGAATGAAGGCATGACTGGATGGATAGAGGGATGGAGGGATGGATGGAGGCTGGATGGGTAAATGGATGGATGGATAGAGGGATGGAGCGATGAATGGATAGAGGGATGGAGCGATGGATGGAGGCTGGATGGGTAAATGGATGAATGGATAGAGGGATGGAATGATGGATAGAGGGATGGAGCGATTGATGCATAGAGGGATGGAGTGATGGATGGATAGAGGGATGGAACGATGGATGGATAGAGGGATGGAATGATGAATGGATAGAGGGATGAAGGTATTGATGGAGGGATGGAGGGATGGATGGAGGATGGGTAGAAGGATGGATGGATAAAGTGATGGATAGCTGGATGGATAGAGGAATGGAGGGATGGCTGGATGGATAGAGGGATGGAGGGATGGCTGGATGGATAGAGATATAAATGAATGGGTGGCTAGATGGATGGATAGATAGAGGGATGGATGAATATGTAAGAATCCAGGCCCTATAACTTTATGGGCTTAAAGAAACATTGGCCAAGGTGTAATTTTTCTGTAACAAACATTAGTTGTATTTGCTCTAAAGACATAAATAAGCAATATATTTAGGAATGTATTACCCAGAATCTTGGCCTGACAATTGCCCTAGAGAAATGAATTTGGACAGCCAAGAGCTATCTTGTTGGATTTGTTATTGTTAAGTTAGAAGCTGAATAAATCAGAACAATGCCATGTGTCCTGAGTTATGAACACTGAAAGATTATATCTCCATGGGGAAGTTCTCCCGTGGCTGGATCTTCATTCTTGAAAACATGCACCTACTTGCAATTCCAGATAAATCATTTCTGTGCATGACTAGCAGATCCGGATTTGAAGAACTGTTAAAATCTCCATGCATTTTTATAATGAATTAGTCTACGATGATCTATGAGACTAAAACTTCTGACTGTCTTCCAAAACAAAGTTAGCTTTTCAAGATATCTTTTTCTCATGGAAGTGAAATAAATTGGACATGCCAAACATTAATAAGGAAACATGACGTGCCATAAATCAGAAGATAATGACAGGGTGAATATTATGTCTCCACATCCTTAAACCTTCCCATATCAGTGGTGAGGAGCTGGAGATGCATTGTAATTATGTCTTCTTCTGATTAGTAACGCTGTTCCCATCTAGAGTGAAATGCTTCACCAAAGACCGTGGTGACAGAGCAGAAGGTTTTCCTCCAACAAATGTTGAAGACAGGTTGATTGTCCATGACACAAGCTATATTAGTAGACAATGGTTTAGACGGACTACTGAACAAGTTGAATTAAAGAAACGATTATGGACTATGGGATTCTTCATCACTTGTCAGAGTATCATCTTCCTCTCTTACATGTGAACGATGAGCAGAGTGCATATTTTTAGGATAGCTTGAGGACTTGATAAGTGATCTTGGGTCACTGAAACAAAGAAGGGGTTAGCTGAGGGCAGAGTGTATGTTACCAAAAAGTATAGTTAATAAAACAGAAAAAAATGTTTGTTTTAGGAACAAATGTGTTGGGATATCAAATTCCCACTTCTTATAAAGCCCCTGTACAATCCTATTCTGGTTATTACAGATGATGAGGTATCCTAAAACCTTTCCAATGTTTCCCCTTCCAGCTGACATCACAGCGTGCAAACACAATAAATAACACAGCAACACAATGACAAACTGTGAGACTTAATACAAACCCAAGTAAAGAAAGCTTGAGTTATGTTTGTCACCTGACTGTCCTGTTGTCTCTGGATTGTGTCTGCATTCTGGTTCAGGAATACTGTAGATTTTGATTTTAAAGACACAGTGGGTTACTGTCTGGTTCTCTGCGCTTCTAACGTACAATCAGACTGCTTTAAATTTATTAATGCATGTGGTCGTGTAAATATCCTACTTTGTTGAGATTCTAAAGAATAATCTTAAATAAGTCTGAAAGTCACTTAAGATTTACCTGAATAAGGCCAGGTCTACGGCCGCTTTTAATGAAATGACTTTGGGACAAAGATGCTGCAAATGCAAGCAGTGACTTTCCTGTAAATGGCACTGTTTATATTTAACATATTCCACACCTACCTATATACTGTCAAAGAGACAGCAGTAGGGGCTTCCAATACAAATAGATTCAATTATTGATTCCGTTTGACTTCCAATGGTTACAAAGTATTCTGAGAAGGAGTAAATGTGGGCACCTGGTAGTGATGATTAATATAGTGGCACAGCGGTCTTTTATTTCTGTAAAGCATAAATACAATTTTACAAAAATAAATTGAATTAATTTAAAAAAAGTACTTTACCCAACAGTGGCTCTCTACTTTGCGTAGTGGCTTTTCCAACCTATTCTCTCTGTTATCATTCCTCTGTTTTATCTGTGTTTATTATTTTTGTGTGTCTTGCACATCTCTTTGGTTCTTTTTGTACTTCTCTACCGCTCTTGTCTATTTTCTTGTTTATTTTTTTCCCATGCCTACATTTTCCACGTGCTCTTTTTGCTCTTTCCCAGTATATAATAACGTAGCGTCCGTCACTAACTCTATCTGCTTCATTAAATTTGTGTTAAAAAACTCATATTTACAGGAACAAAAGGTGGTGAAGACCCAGCGCAAACAAGCTGACAGCGTAACAGAAATGAGGTGAAAATACACAGAAGGTAAACAGCGGCCTGTCCAAAGTAAACATGGAGTGCTGGCTTCAATATAAAAGCCTGCAAATATGTCATGATTTGGGGAGGGGAGAAGGAAAATTGGATTATTGAAGAAACAGGGGAGATCAGATAGGGGAAATATTAACTCAAACGTTGATGTGTCTTTTTTTTTTTTTTTCAAAAACAAACAAATATGCATAGAGAACTGGAAAAATAAAATATTTTTTTTACATTGTGCTTTGAAGTATTCTTTGCCTAGAGTGTGCCTTCAGCATTGGAATAAAGCACATCTTGCATATCACTGAACAGGTATAAATGAGGCATCTTTAGTTGCACCCATATTTTTGAGTGGTACAGTAAAAGTTCTTACAATACCTGACTTACGGAATCATTAATGCATGGAAGGAACGCTGGGTATGTTTGAATGCGCATGCAAAATGAAAAATTAACCCAATTTAATCTTCGGCCTTAAGGACACATGACATGTGTGACATGTCATGATTCCCTTTTATTCCAGAGGTTTGATCCTTAAGGGGTTAACCTCAAAGTTTGCAATAATTGTTAAATTCCGTGAGTTTTTCTAGCATCAACCTTCAAACTTTTAAGACAAGCCTCTGGCTGGAAAGTTTGTCTCAGTGCAGAGCTAAGTAGGCATTTTGTACTCTGTACTTTGCTTACAATGTATCAGTTTGTGCTGAATCCTCCTCGTTATGGCACTATGCCCGGAATGATTAACAGGAAAAGGTGGCACACTCCCACAGTAAAACCACCAAGGATAAGTCTTGAACTCACAGGAGTACAAATTACCCAAGAAATATTTGATAAAGAACTCTAATAAAACATTAAACATGTCCCGGGAAAAAAAAAGTTTTAATGATTAGCATTGTGCCATCAAATGCCCAGATCAAATGTTAATAAATATGTCTGGGTTTTTTATTACTTGGATATAAATAGCATTCAGTGTGCAGAGGAAGTATTTTTTTTTTGTCAGGTGAGTATACATGAGAACAAACAGGATCGCATGCAGAATGTGCTATCCATTTTTATATAATATATCTAGGAAAAATTCAATGTCAGTAATTCTATAGTCTTGTCAAAAACAGTTTGGTCGCAGCTATGAAATATTGAATCACATGGCACAGGAGTGCCACTCCTCGCACCATAATCACTACTGTAGACCACAGTAGTTATGGTGCGTCAACAGTTTGTTTAAACAATGCAACAAACATAGCATAGAAAAAGAGAGAACTAAGTATTCAACTAATCCACTTTGGTATAATTAGATAGTAGCCAATAGATTTGTGCACAGTGACATAACTTAGTTCTTCCACATCGACTAGTTCTAAAAAGGAATGTTTTTGGTGATCCAGGTTTCATACATGTAGCATTTCGCTTCTGATAAATTTCATCCAGGCCATCAGTTTGGGAAAAACCATTGAGACGAACCAAAAGGGCACAAAGGTTGGCCAATCGGTGTACTACAAAAGATTTCTAGATTTTAATTTTTTTACTAGTTTTATATTTTTTCCTTTATTGGTCACTTTTAACTCAATCTGTGAATAAAATCAATATTTAGAGGCTGCCCTTAGGTTATCAATCATCTTTATTCCCAATCAATTACCTCTTTTTTAGTGCCACAGACAGAACTTACAAATCACAAATCAAAGAAGCGTTGTCCATTTCATTTCCTTTGTGATTTGCCCAAATAGCGTTTTGGAGTTTGGGATTTTGAACAAACTGTTATTCGCCGAAAATTCGGACAAATTACAATTTGTTTGAAACCAAATGCTCAAGTCTAGTAGCCAAATACAGGAAGCTGCTTAAACAGAAGTAACAATATGCCCAGGTCTGGTGACCTCTCCCTCTCCGGGGTCAAATAGGAGCTGATTCTGCACTTACTGGGACTGTGTAGCAAAGTTAGTGTTTATAGTTACTGTACGAAATGTTTAAACAACATCAATATGGTACCCAAGTAAGAAACGTGACAATATCTGAATGTAAAGATTGTGAAAGGTGAGGTAAAATGAATGTGAAAAGCATTCAAAGAAAGAAGTTATAGCAAGAGAAAAATAGAAGGGGGTTAGGAAAAGTAAACAAGGGCACTAAAGTGTTAAAAAAGTTTAGAATTGTTCTATTTTTGTTCATTTCATTAATAGTTTGCTTATACTCCCTCCTTCCAAGAAAGACATGTAGAAAAAGACAGAGAGAACGATTCGGGAGGAAAATGAAAGAAGAGAAGTTAATGGAAGAATGAGTGGGGAGAAGATGAGGGAGTGAGGATTAATGAGTATGGAATGGAATTAAATGAGAGGAGGAGAAGAGAATAGGAGCAATGTATCAGAAGCATATAAACGGAACCTAGAGCAGCGATAATTCATTTTACAATTATTAAACAACATGGAAAAAAAATGTTTCTGTAAACAAAGATTAAAAGCCAGGCCTGGCAACTCTCGGGGTCTCTAATTCCAGTTTTGTCACACATTATTTCAAGTTCACTTTAAAGGTCTCCTGTCATGGTACCTACAACGTATCTCATTTTATAGAGCATGACATTTCATCTGTACATTGTGCTACAGTTTAGCTAGCAAATGTAGAAATGGGGAGAAAAAAATATTTTTAAAAAAGGTCTTTCTCACACTTTTCAGTTAAATCGGTTTGGCTGACAAGGAGGAGCAGAAAGGAACTCCCACAGGTGGTCTCTCTGCTCTGTCAAGCAAGCAACCACAGTGTTTGTGCTATGGTTGCTATGGAAACCCCGATCGGACGCTTCTATTGCTGGCTCAAGTATAGGAACGGTGTTACTAATGTCACTCTATTTGGATGCCGACATGCTGGCAACGAAGTCAGCCTCTCAG